AATTGTGTTTTAGATATATTTATAGTTTTAATGTTTTCTGTAAGTCTCCCATTGTGGGGCATATTTTGAGGATATTGTGATTTTTATTATTTTGATAAATGGTCTAAAGCAGTCATCTGAAATAAAATGCAGAAACCTTCAGTGGCCTTCTCTTTGTTACTTGATTTGTTAACCTACTTATAGAGCACATATTTTAATTCCATTATATGACAATCTAAATCACAAATTTTGAGGTAGCTGAGGCAAAAAAAAAATTGATATATTACAAAAAGTAGTTAAAATACTGAATGGGCAAGTATTAGATCTGCTTAGAATCTAATAATCCTCAAAATTGATTATTAATAATGAAACTATTAGAACTGACAGGCATAACTTGGCAGTAGCTGGTATGCACCAGGAATATCTCAGAATATGCTTGCCAGAATTGTGTTAGAATTGCGGTTTCTTCTGAAAAGCATGGAGGAATGACAAAATACAGTGGGTCTTCTATCTTCTGAGAAGCACTTGTTGAAATTGTGCTTGTCCTAACATGTTAAGAAGGGGAAAATGTTTTATGTATGTGACTGTGTGAAATCACACACAGGAGGGAAGTGCCAGCATTTGCATGATTTAAAATTGTCCAAGGACTTAAGTTTTTATTACCACAACAAAGTTAAGCAGTTCTATATACTGGATTGTAGCCAGTCTTGATAATTATGGATTTATTGATCCCAATGAAATCATTGGAGGGGTCTTAAATTAAATTAAGACTTAATTTTTTTTATTCAGTTAAGACTCTTACTTGAGGGATTCAGCATGTAATTCCCTATCACTAAGACAAGTTATTGTGCCAGGAGCCTATAGAATTAAACTAGCACAGTATCTACCTTGTAATTTAGTGTACGGATCATGATAAAATCATGAGAATCTTAGGGTTTGGCACTGAAACTAATTTTTCAAAATGTCTACTACATACATAAGGAAAAGCTTGCTGATGAAATATCAACATGCCTTGGTACAGGTTAAGCTTATTTTACTAATGGTTGGTTAAAAAACACAGACACACAGGTTTTGGAATACAAATGCGTGTTTTGGGAAATCAGGCAAAAGCTGTTTAAAAATTCCAATCATTTCCTAGTAAACTATAATTCTTACACAGTTCCAATTGAATAGCTATTTACTAGTCTGTTATAATCTGACTGATATGGAATTAGGACACTAGCTAGAAAAGATGCTAAGATAAGCAAGACAGTAATATGTGATGATATTCAGGTCCATTTCAACATTAAAACTAATTAACCTGTAGCTGATCAATTTCTGGAGATAATCTTTTTTTTCTGTAATACTAGCCCCTAATCAATTGCAATGGATATGTGTTAGAACTCTGGGTTGGATCCAAAAAGCAGAAGTGAAAGAAAAAAAAAGGCACTAGTATTATTCCACAAATATTTGTGCAAGAATGCGGATAAAACTTTGTACCTTGCCATAACTGATACATAACATATATTTAGTTATGTATTATATGAAGCTGGTGTTTATAATATTTTGCAAGTACAGAATATAATAACTGGCTTTAGCTTCATTTTTCTTCAAACAATGTTTGAAGGCTTTTAATGCTTGCTTGTATATTGTAACTTTTCAATAAATAGTACCTTTCTGCAATGTCATCATCTTCACCAAGACGCTCCCAGTATGTGTTTGGAAATCCATTTATCTTCATATAGTGGTCTGGGGTCAAAGCAGTAACACCACCAAAAAAGGATGAATATGGCAGGCTACACAGAGAAAATAAATTTAAGCAAGTGATGTTATAAGCAAAGACCACATGGATTCACCATACAAACAAATGTATTTAGATACTGTGTTTTTTCTTTACTCCAACCCTTTCACATATGTACAATATATTGCATTAATGAATTCTACTGTTGATGCTGTTTGTCGTACTAAAATAGAAATAACACAGGAAAATCAATGTGCTCTAGCAATTAAAATTCTGGATTGGGACCAGAGAGACACATGTTTAAATCCTTACCAGGTAGCTTTAGGTCAGTTACCACTCTAAGCCAGATCTACTTTACAGGGCCGTGTTATAGTTAAGGTAATACAACAGGAGAGACCCAGAACCCAAAGAGGAAAGATAGGTCTGCAATAATTAAATTGTGAAAGAATTATGTATGGAAACTTCAAGACTTCAGTACACTTAAAAGCAAACCTTACATATAATTCTGAAATAATTATATATAAATCCTTTCAGATATATAGGGTTGACTTCTGAATAATCAAATTTAGTATTAGAGTTTAAGATACAATTGGATAATATTTCAGCATCTAAATTTACTCATAATGCAAATTAGAAAGCGGCTATGAATTCTGAAAATCATTGCTTGAGTGTCACTAAAATATGCTCATGCAGTAACTTTTTAAAAATATATGTGCTGTCATGGTTAAGTATAATTCTTATATATTTAAAATATTATTAGGAAAAATGCATAGATTCAATCCAAGGAGAATAATTGTCCTAGACAGCACATGAAAAGTTTCTGGCATTACTAAAAAAAAGTAAGTGCATATAAATCTATACATTTTTTCATTGTACATTACCCAAATACTGAATTAGTAAATATATTTAGTAAACCATGTTTGCCCAGATTATTTTATTTCACAAAACATACTGTTCCATAATAAATGAAGATTTTACTCTCATTCTTTCAGATATTACCGGTAATATAACTTGTCAATAGCAGTGGACAAATGTTTGGGATAATATTCATCACAGACATAAAGATTATAATCATTTTCTGGAACAAGATCCATATTATGTAGAAGCAGACAGTCCCAATCATTATCTTTCAGGGCCTCATGGACGCCAACATTAAGGAGCTTTGCTCTGTTAAATGGACCACTTCCAGCCTGGAAAGAAAACATGCCATTCAATCAAGTAACATAACACTGAAGTGAGACAGCAATGACTGTTCATAATATCTACACTGTACTGCTTTTACAACAAGCCTCTGATATGATTGACTGAGCTGTTATGTTGGTATTGGGTGATCAGCTGTTGTGAAAATTGGATAATTTGTAGTCCCATACTCATAAAAGATTAAATTAACAGTTTAGCAGGGATTAACAAACAATTTGAACACTGAGAAAAGAGCTAGGCATGAGAGACAAAGTAGGAGGAGAGCTGTGTTAGTCTAAGGTAGCAAAAAATCAGGAGGAGCCTAGTAGCACTTTTTCTGACTAACAATTTCATTAAAGTGCATAACCTTTCATGAGCTGCAGCTCACTTCACTAGAAGCACTCTACCAGATACATTCAGATGCGAGATAAAGAGGCTGAACAATGAGCAGATAAAATAGGAATAGGAAAGAAAATTAGTGGTAATACAACTTCATAAAAGCAGCAAAGGACATACAATTAGAGACAATGAAGGGGCAATAATCAATAATAATAGATACTGCAATACCTAGAAAAAGAACTGGGAAAAAAATCGTAGAACAACTATGGCAAAGCAAAGCAAGTCTGGATGGTGAACACTGCAATACCTGGAGACAGTAGAAGAGAAGAGAAAGAACTAGAAATCACAAAAAATATAAAGACCTGCAAATAGAAGTAGAATGACTATTGCAAAAGAAAGCAAAGATAGTACCAATAGTTACAGGCGCCTTAGGTGTAATCCCAAAACATCTGGAGCACTACTTGAACCCAATCAGTATTGACAAAATCACCATCAGTCAATTGCAAAAGGCAGCTTAACTTTGAACAGCTGATATCCTGTGACAATACCTTTAACACCATCAAACAACATCTGCCTGTCCCAGGTCCTTGGGAAGGACTTGATAGGTGGATAAAAATGCAAAATCCAGTCTAAAATCTGGCTGACTGTGGGACCAACCATCATCATCATCATCATCATCATCATCAGACAACTGCAAAAGGCAGCTTTACTTGGAACAGCTTATATCTTGCAACAATACCTTTAACACCATCAAACCATCAAACAACATCTGCCTATCCCAGGTCCTTGGGAAGGTTGATAGGTGGATAAGAATGCCAAATCCAGTCTAAACATCTGGCTGACTGTGCGACCAATAATAATAATAATAGCTGATGCAGTCCAACAACATCTAGTTGAAAACAAGCTCTTTCCATCTGAGCAGAAAG